AAGAAAGTGATAATGTTCCTCGCTTATGTCAAGGGTTGTAGAATTGTTCTGTGTCATCAAATCAAGTTATGAGACAACATGATAAGTTGAAAAAGAGTCGGGGAACCAGGGGCAGCTTGATTGTGGTTCAATCTCTTAACTTCTCCCAGTGTCAGTTTCCTAATGAGTAAGATGGGGTGGGGGTTGGACTAGATCATTGCTGAGGTGCCTCCTCTCTTTTATGATTCTGCGCTCTAAGCCATAGAACCTGTAGCAAATGCCTGTTTATACAGAAAGTTTGGGATAAAGGGTGTTTTTGATGAATGTATACCCTAGCAAAAGAGCTTGAACTGAGGATTGCTCAAACCTATGGTAAAATCATCTAATAATCATCTGTGGCCCCTAATTCCTCATGGGATAAACTGAAATGACAATACGACTGATTTCACAGGGCTTTTGTGAGAATTCCATGAGGTAATATACGTGGAAGCCCCTTGTCAATACGTCATGTTTATTATTGCCGTAGCCAGGGTATAACTTTTCTGAAAATTTGAATATAATAAAACACTCTTCAGCCCTACACTCTATCTGAAGTAACTTAATCTGTTTTCCATGGTTCAGGAGATCATGAGGAAGTTACAAAATCTCAGGGTCATTGTCGTGAACTTGGGGTAGTTCTGGAGGGAAAAGGTCCTGGCTGCTTGTATTCTTTGTTTTTTAAGTTTCGAGGTAAATGGGGGCATATTGACTGTGAAACCCAGAAGGAAACAGAGATCACATACTCAAAGTCCCTCACTTTACAGATGAAATCTCTGAGCCAGGGAAACTGAGTGGCCTGCCCAGAATCACAGGTTAATTACTGGCAGATCTGGGAGTAAAATCCAGGCTTCTGACTCACAACATGCTTTTTCATCGTTAGTTTAAACATAACCAAGAAAGTCTTAAAGGAAGCTAAGAATGTACTGGTGAACATGTCTGCACCTTGGAACATGGAAGCAAAGAAACAGCAGAAAGAAGTTGAAGGGCCTGCACGTGGCACCACGACCTTGACTTGACCCCCCTTGGGAAAAAAAGTACAGTGGACTTCTTAGTAATTTTCTTAATCGTAGCAGTTCCTTTCTTCTGTACAAAATTCATTTCAAGTATGCTGTGAAATGAATTGGCAGTAAAAATGCTGGTCTTAGTATGGCTCTCGCAGGCTTGCCATGTGCCCAGGAAGTACCATGACATAGGTGCAAAAAAGCGGTCCCTCTCTCTTTTTTTTTCTTTTTACCTACGATCATTATTAACAGCTATGTTGTAGAGTTAAACTTGCAAGAGATGATTATAAACCAGGTTCTGTGTGCCGCCCTCGTCTGGCCCGTGCAGCTTCTGTCACGTGAGCAGCTGTGAGCCGTGTGATGTCTCAGGATCAGTGCCTGTGAGCAAGTAGCCGGGGAAGGCAGCACTTTATTCCGAGATGTGTTAAAAGCAGGGTGCCGCCTCTGTCTCCTTCCTCTTCCCATGCATAAATCTATTTCACCAGGGATCTACAGATTTCTTTTTTTTTTTTCTTTTGGCTCTATTTTTAGTCTATTGATAACTTGAGAAAGCCTCCAAGGATCGAAGTCTTGGGTGGGGAGGATTCCTTTCGCTCACTCTTGTCTGAATTCCTAATACTGTACGAAATCCATCTGAATCTGAACCTGGATAGGAAACGCATGAGGAAGCATCGTGTGATGAATAAGAGCACAGACTCTGAAGCCAGACAGCCTGGGTTCAGATCTCAGCTTCTCTTGTCACCATGGCCCTATGACCTTGGGTAAGTCCCTTAAATGCACTGGGCCTTGGTTCTCTCATCTGAAACACTATCTCACAGAGTTGCTATGAGCATACAGTTAAATGAACTATGTATAAAGTGCTTAGAATAGTGCTAGGTGATACAAGTGCTTAATAAATGACTGCTGAGTAAATTAAATTTAATGGTCCTGATTAGACCAGAGTTGCCTCTCGGTCCAAGGCTGTATTCCATTAGAGGCTGTAACACGCAGGCTTTAGGGCCCTTGGTTTGAGGAAAGGGTGCTTCTTTTTCCTCAATTAAAATTGCAAAGCACATCCTAGACCACAACCTTTTTGTTCTGTTGAACTAAAAAAAGGTAATGGCAGTGGGACTTGACTTTGAACATCAAAGCTTATCAAGCCGCTTTCCAGCTCCGTGAAAGAGTCTGCCATTTCTCTTTATGCTAATGGCAGAGTAGTGATTCTGATAAGTGTATTGACTGTCCTCGAGCAGGTAGCTTTCTCGGTCGGGGTCACTTGTGTAAAACTGCTAGGATTGCCATGGTGTTCCCCAGACCGACTGTGACTCACTGGGGCCCTTCTGCACACAAGTCCAGAGCATCCTCTCAGGTACCGGGGAAGGGGGTTTCCGTGTGGTGGCTGTTCTTGCTGCAGGGGCTGGGCTGTGGGAGAGATTAATGGGAAGTGAAAAGAGAAACTGTTGTTCTTAACCGGCAGGGCTGTTTGGAGTGTGTGACTCTTCTTGTATTTAGGGAAAAGATTACTCATGACTATTTTCTTCCATAGAATATAAAGAACCTCAAATTACTGCTTGCCTCCCCCACCCCCTTCTCACCCGCCTCCCTCTGTTTCGGTGTGTCCTCTGCAGAAACTTCAGCATTTTACTCTCATTTCCCCTCCCCCGCGGGATTCAGTTCTGTATTTGCTTTGGCATTTGAACTTCCAATAAGCTCCCCAGTTACTTTTTTCCTGTTTCTGATGGAGCCCCTCTCACCACCAGGCACTCACCTAGGCCAAGCTTGACTGGAACCTCACATTTGTCCCTTCATGATTGGCTGGACCCAGACTCCTGGTATGAAGGAGAGGAAGGGAAAAGTCCAGAGGAACAAATCACTATGCTGTTCCCGTTTAAAGATGACAATAAGAGGAAGTAAACTTGAAGGTTTTTTACCAGTTCAAAGGTTGAGATTTTGCTGCGCCATCCTCACGCCCACTCCCCCCTCACTGTGATTTCAGATATGCGTTTTCAAGGTCATTGTACAGAGTTGGGGTGCCCCTTGTATCCAAGGACCATTTTTAATAGGCATTGCTTCTTAGCCCAATCAAGAGTCAAAAACAAAACCTTAAATTCTTTAATGGCTGTTCTAAAGATCATAGAGCAGTAACATACTATGCATTATTATTTTATAATGCTGCTTTTTTCATTCCATATGAAAAAAAAATTAGCAAAACTTCAAAACCAAGGGAAAAACTCTTACATGCCCATCTCTGGTTATTTCAATGCCCATCGTTCTTTTTTGGTGCCCTACACAATGGACCAGTTTCAAAAGGACCTCCACAGAGTTCAAGGAAGCCAGCTACCATTCTTCAAAACTAGACTTTACAAAGGAGCCACCTGGAAGACAGAGCCAAAGTCATGCCTGGAGGCCCTGGACCTCCTCCAGGGGATCTGAGCCATTTGTTCCAGGTCCACCAGGGAGGATGAGTAGCCCATCCAAGTAGATCAAACGGTTCTTTGTAATGCCTGATTTAAGGATGAAAGGTGATTCTTTCCAGGATCTAACTGAAGGACACTTTATAGCACATTCATGGAGTCTCCTTAGCAAGTTTAAGTAACTAGATAGAGAGACTGAGGCTTCTCTTAGCAAACACTGATTCCATTGTATTTGAACTATTAATTCACACAATACGATTTCAGAGAATGAAGCTCTGTTGAGCATATAGCTACTGCTAACCCATCAGCTCTCAAACATTTTGGTCTCAGGACTCCTTTTGAATCTTAAAAATTATTGAAGACCCCAAAGAGCTTTGCTCATATAGGTTATATCTATTGATAGTCACCGTACTAGAAAATAAAACCGAAAATTCAAAAAAAAAAAAGTTAACTTACTTTTACAAAGCCAAGCATATATTGACATAAATACATATTTATGAATATCTTTTCCAAAGCTAGAAAATAATGAGAAGAGTGGCATTATTTTACATTTTTGTAAGTCTCTTTAATGCCTAGCTTCATAGAAGATGGTTAGAATTCTCATATCTGCTGCAATATCACATGTTGTGTAGCCTCTAGAAATTTCCACTGTCTACTCACAAAATAATGCGAGTAAAAGAAAAAAGGCAAACAACCTCTTCATATTGTTGAGAAAAGAGTTTTGACTTCATAGATACCCTGAAAAGGTCTTGGGAACCCTGAGAGGTCCCCAGATCACACTTTGAGACTTACTGTTCTAAACCATTTGAATGATATCAAAGATTTCTCACAACAGCAAAATAAAATAAAAACATAGACTCCCTGTCAGGCTTCCAGAGACCCAGCCTGAGCCGCCCTCCCAGCCTGAGCTGCAGCCTTCCTTTTGACCTACTTCTCGTCCTACCCAGAGTCCAAGTGCCACCCCCACCCGGAAGTTCTAACATCACCAAGTAGAATAAAAAAGCAAGAGACCTTTTATCCTCACCTTGCCCTCTCATTCCCAGAGGCCAGCCTGACAGTTTCCCAGAGGCTGAGTGAATTTCTCTTCCTGGAAGAGGCTTCAGGGAACTTCATTCTTTGGTAGCCCTGGGAGGTCAAGCCCAGCTCGGGAACGTTGTCACTTCAGAAGAATGCTGGGCTACAACCAACCCTGAATTTAAGATCCCCTCCAAAGTATGGTGACATTTGTCATGATGACTTCAGGCCCCCTTGGGTGTATCAGGCCACTGTAGAGCTGTACCTTAGGGCAAACCTAGAGTCCAGGCAGCCCCTGGAACGGGGCAAAGAAGGGTCCCTTAAAGGCATAAAAGAGGATTTTTTTTGTTTCTCATTTTGCCTCTAAATAAAAAAAAGTTCATTTGATACCATGCTTTGGCACTTAAGAAGCTTGAGTTTTAACCTGGGATTCAGAGTTGAACATAAAGGGCTCTTCAGACATGGAGACTCAATTTTGTTAACCATTCAGACATCTTTCCCCTTTATTCCAACTGTCTAACTGACAAGACCCTTTTTTTCTCTCTTTCTTTCTGCCTTGCTCTCTCTCCAACAGGCTTGCAGCCAATTTACTGGAGCAGGGATGACGTAGCCCAGTGGCTCAAGTGGGCTGAAAATGAGTTTTCTTTAAGGCCAATTGACAGCAACACGTTTGAAATGAATGGCAAAGCTCTCCTACTGCTGACCAAAGAGGACTTTCGCTATCGATCTCCTCATTCAGGTGAGAGTCGGGGCTCGGGACACGTGCTCAGCTTAGGAAATCTGGGAGTCGGTGGTTGGTCTTTGCCACCGCTCAGCCTACCTAAAAAGTTCTCCGCTGTAGGTCACCATGGCACAAGGACAATGGCCTAGCTTAGTAGAGGAAAGATCCTGCTGACATCTACCAGTTTGAGGGGAGAAGAGGAAGCGTTTCCAGATCAAGGGGAAACTTCTAAGTTAACTCAGTTAGGACCTACAGACACTGGAACCTAAAGGGTATCGTTGTGCCACCACATAAAGAAGAAAATGCATCCCTGCCCTTTTTTTCTATCTTGCTCCTGAGTCTAAAAGACATGCTTGAGAGTGAGTGTAGGCTGCGAACTGCTCAGTTAACAACAGAGGCAGAAGAGGGAGGGGCCTGCGCTCTGCTGAGGTAGCTAGAGGAGAAGCGAGGGTGCAGGAGGAGATTAGGAGCCAAGGCAAGCTTAGCAATAAGCTCAGAGGGCCTCAGGTGATGTGGGGAGGGGGTGGAATACTGACTTTTTTAAAGGAATGCATCTGTAGCTTGTAGAAATCTGGAACAATACAAGTGGAAGTTTCCTCCGGCTCATCTAACTAGGAAGATTTATCAAAACGAGGGCCCGCACAAGGGAAGATTTAATTCAGTAAGGAGTGTTTGTTACCTGCAAAGTGTATTAAGGATGTAGATGAGACTTCAAATATACTTTCCAATTTCATTTCTAAACTTTGTGGATATTTCGATGGTAGCTACTTGGGAACTCCATATATCAAAGAGGAATTTTGGTCTCAAGTTTATGCCTCTTGAGGGGCGGGTTCTTCAAGTACCCATGGGCCCGCCTATCGAGTCTCATTGTGGTCCCCAACTTGGAGGTAAGCTGTCAGGCAGAGAGACCCTTTTTCCCTTGACCAAGGGCGAAGATCCTGCAAAAGGTCTTGGCATAGTCCCCAACTCCATTCAACCCTTATTTACTCCGGGAGGCCTGCCAGAAGCTAATAAACTAACCGCCATGAGGAAATGTCCCCCGTCACAGAGGGTGAGATAAGGATAGAGAACAGGATCTCCCCTGCTCTTCCCAACGGCAGCAGATCCTTTATATAAGGAAATGATAATGGGGAAGTTTCCCCTAGAAGTAGAGATGTTATTGAAACTTGAAAGCTTACATCTCTGAAAAACAGATCAGTTTTAAAGTTTTATAAGGGACACAGACATACCTGAAGGAATTTGTCTCAAATCATTGATTTTTTTTTCCTACAGTTTCAGAATAAGACAACTGTAAAACAACCACACAAATAAAACTAATGTAAAAGGAACCTAGATAGTTCCTTTTAATTTAATGCAAAAATACTTCCCTTTTCTGTTCCAGTGGAAACTCAAAGATATTACATTCAAAGAGACAAAGTTACTTACCTGGAAGAAACGAGCTCTTAAGTCTTTTGTGTTCCAGAGAAACCACTTATGTAAGGCAAACAAAGGAATGTGTTTTGACGATTTGACTTAGACCTTGGGCAAGCTCTCCTCCCTGAGTCTTTGCAGTTGACCCCCTTCCCCCAATCATATCTCAGGTCCTCCTTTTTGCTGCTGGTTTATTTTTCTCTTCAATGATCTCTCAACTTGACTTTATGAAACCACATTCCCTCTGCTCAAACCTGGAAGCAAAGACATACAAAAGCCTGTGAGTCGTTTCTTGCCACTTGGACAAATCTTTGCCAGGGTGGGTTATGTGGCAAACAGGACAGGATACTGCTGTCAGTTAGATAGGCCGGGTTGCATTAAACCTAAAGGCACAAGAAGCTGGAGAAGGGAGAGAGCAGAGCGGATGGGTCTCGTGAAAGAAGGAATGGAGTTGGTCTGCAACATGAAGGACGGGTGGACTGAATAGGCAGAAGAGACCATTCTGGGTAATTGGAGCAGCATTAGCTTAGTGTATGTGGGTGACGGTGAGAAAGCCCATCTGATGAATGAATAAAAGAGGCAGGAGGCAGGAAAGCCAGCTAAAGCTGATGCACACGTCTGGAAATGAAATGTGCAGTAAAAATTCATTCCGTGAGTATTCCCTGAGTAGCTCTAGGCCGGTGGTACAGAAGTACAGGCTAAGGGAGGTGAGGGTTAGGAGAGATGATTTCTAGCTGGATTGTCAAATGAAGCTCAAGGAGATGGTAATAGAGCTTGACTTGGAAAGCTTTGAATGGTAAGGTGTTAAGGAGATGCAGGCCAGTTTGTGTGGAGGAGGGGTTCAGAGATAAGGCCACACAAGCTAGATCTTCCGTTTGAACCATGTCATTGTCATTTGTCACCCCTCCCTCACTTGTCTAATTGCCTGTTCTTATTTCAAGTTCTGCTAGTTTCTCCAGGAAAACTTTCCTGACTCCCGTCCCCTCTCCTCTGATCCGCCCCACCTTCCTTTCCTCCACCTCAGACTGGGACAGGCGCTGTTCCTCTTTTATCCCAGAGTGTTCCCTAATTCTGTCATGGCCCCTAACATGCACGCACACACATGTGCATGCACACACACACACACACACACACACACACACACACACACACACCACTGTGTTATGTGTGGTTGTTTTCTATTCCATATCCCTCCCTTAGAGTGGAAAGTTCAGCTTGGACAGGAATGGTGTCCTGTTAAGGTGCCATGTCTCCAATATCTAGCATAGTGCATGGCATCTAGTTGGTACTCAGTAAATATTGGTTAAATTATGACCCAACATGAGAGGACCGTAAAGCCCAGGTTAAGAAGTTTGGATTTTATTTTGCATGTATGGGAATCACTGAAAGGTTTTGATGATAAGATTGGAGTTCTCCCTTTGGAACAGACATTTGCCATCGGTGCATGGGGTGGGTTCACGGGGCCACTGAAAGCAGGAAAGTTAGTTAGAATGCTGCTGCTACAGTACTAATTAATACAAGACACTGAAGTCCAGAACTAGATCAGTGAGACCAAAGTAATAGCACTTCAGGCACAGAGTGGTTAGCTCAGGTGGGGAGCTCATCTGGAAGCTGTGGTTAGAGTTTGTCTTGGCCAAGAGATGCCAGGACACCCAGGATAATGTGACCTGTTCATCAGTTGGAAATCTGAGACAAGAGCCAGGCCAGAGCTGGGAATAATAGATACGAGCCCCATCCCCATTACATTAAGCTGGGAATAAAGATAAATTTATGCTGTAGGTAATTTAATTAAGGCATCACCCGGAAAGCCATGGACAGAATGTCAAGGTGATACCTGCAGTAGGGGCTACAAGAAAACTTAACACTAAACAGAGGATTATCACCAGAGGGTTTAGAAGACCAGAACTAAGAAGGGGTGGAGAAGACACTTGTCACGAAGTGGCCACCCAGCAGGGTATCGAAGGCACGATATACCTGCCTGTGTTCTCCATAGGTCGAGACAAGGTATAAATAGAAAATCTGTTTTATCTCTCAGGTGTAACATTTGCTGCTGCTGCTTCTGACATGGGCTTTCTCTCTTCTCATTGGTGTAGTAGATGTCCTGAGGCCAGGTTCTTCCCCAGATCACATCATTTCATCTACCCTTATTTTCCTCATGCATCATATGGGATGTTGACCCTGTGGCTTCTAAGCTCCCTTCAACTCTTAACAGTTCAACCCACCTTCAACCACTGAAACAGCGTTAGGCTTCCAGTAAACAGTACAACTTCCCACCCTGCAGGCAATCAGTAAATACTTTGATCTACAGTTTACATACCTTGTGAAACTTACACTTCACCCAATAGTGTCCTGACTTGCCTTGAATCTTCCATGTAGCCTAAGAAGACCCAGCAGCAGCGTCTCACTAATCGTGGGGCTGCTGGACTAAAACAAAAGGATCTAGTTGCCCTGTCACAGTGAATGGATGTTTATAGCTCCCTCCTGGCCTGTTTCCTGCCTGGCCTCACCCAGCATTCTGCTCTGTGAATATGCAAGTACCATCCCTTAACACCAACTCTTGTCAAATGTAGAGAGGAGAGAACAGGACTCAGCGAATTATAATTACCTGAAATATAAATATCCCTTAGGTCCAAATACGGTAACCCCTCTGGAATGCCACCTTCTTCAACCAATTTAACGAACTACACTTATCTCGTCCACTTCCAGGACAAAAGCGTCCTCCATTTTTAACCACTAGAATAAAGCAGGGAACATTCAGAATGTGTTTTCAATAACTATATCATCTCGAAACAGAAGACTTCCAAGTTGAAGATAAATGGGGATATTTTCTTTGGAATAGTCTCCCAATTAGAGGTTATAACAAGATGATAAATTTATAACATTTGCAAAACTGAAGACTAAATGTAAAGGAATCTCCATTTTATTTATTTTTTATTTTTTTATTATTATTATTAGTTTCAGGTGTACAAAACAATGAAATCGCTATCCTTTTCACTCCTCACAAAGTGACAACCCTTCTCCCCCATCCACTGCCCTCCCACCCCCGATATCATACATAGCTGTTACAATTCCATTGACTCCATTCCCACACTCTACTCCACATTCCGTGACTATATATGTATTAAATTATAGTTGACATATAATATTATTCAACGTCAGCTTCAGATGTACAGTGCAGTGATCAGGCCTCTACACCGTCCATGAAGTGGTCTCCCTAACAAGACATGAGACCATCTGGCCCCCTAAAAAATATTTACAACATTATTGATTATATTCCCCAAACTGTCTTTTCTATCCCTGAGGCAATATTGTAGTTACCAATTTATGTTGTCTCGTCCCTTCCCCTTCTCCCTCATCGCCACCCCCTCCCAACTAGCAACCCTCAGTTTTTCCTCTGTGTTTCTGAGACTATTTCTGTTTACATTACTCGTTTATTTTATAAAACCTCACATGGACAGGATAATTTTACCTGGTCCTTGAGCTGCTATATAGTTACCACATGAAATAGCCTGGGATGATTTAAATTCAAAGGAATATTTGATTACTTGACCACTTTGAAACTCTGAGAAAACATTTATAAGAAGGGACAGACAGCATTGACTTAACTC